ATCTTCTCTTTCTTCTTCTTCTTTCTCTTTATTCTTGAACTCATTGGCTAGTAAATAGTTATTAGCCACAACAAGAGGTAACGTACCGAATTGAATAGTAAGGGGCTGATCTGGATCTTTTCCATCCCTTCTGTCTCGCTCAAACTTCGATCTCCCAGAAGAAGTTTCTGGCAACTCCTTCATTGTTTCATCTGTACTAGTCTTTTCACTATCTTTGAGAACATTTTGATTGGCTACTTCGAGTAGTTTAGGCGTCTTAGGACGTGGCATTCCCTGTTGTTGCCTCATCATTCTTCCATAATTTCATTGGAAACGCCTCTATTGGGTTCTAGTCATCTTGTTGAAGGGTATCGCCTTTCCTGCATTATACTGGAACGAATGTCATATATTTGGTCGGCGAGGTTGCGGCCTGAATGTTCTCCCATTATTTACTGGCCTGAACTGCTTCTCAAAAGGCGGTCCTTTATAGAACGATGCACCTCGTCCTCTACCAGGCTGAGCGTTTGGGAAGAAAGTATGGCGATGGGGATGCTGCCATATCCTGGTTTCTCCGTATTCCCACTCACTTCTCTTTTACATTTTGCACACAAGACGTCTTCATCCTTTTTTGGCTCATTCCCTTTAATACGCTCGAAGACAGTGGGATGTGGTCCAGGGTCTTCTTCTCCATCATCTATAACCAATTTGAATTTTGGCAACTTATTTTTGAAACCAGACGTCACCATATTCACTCCAAGTGGCTGTGGAAAAGGATTTTCATCTACTGCTATCTTCTTCTTATCATCGAACGTAATTCGTCCTGATTCAATGGCATCTTGTAACACATGGCGAAAAATCAAGCAATTGTTAGTCAAATGTGACCATGCATTATACCACTTACAATATTTTTTACCCTTAATTTGTTCAGGATTTGGCAATTTATACTTATTGCTCAGCTTTATCTGCTTATCCTTATATAATTTATCAAATATAAGGTCAGTTTTGTAATACTCCAAAATTTTATGCTCGTTTAAATTTCTTTGGGATAGCGATTTAACTTTCAATACTATTTTTGGCCATAAGGTAAAAGGGGACACCACCTTTGTAGTGGTTAATGTTAGAGGTAGTTAATGAATGTAGGCATGAAGTATCAAAAGTTGTGTATGTATGAAGTGATTATTAGTTAGTCGAAACTTAAGGCAAGTTTGGATTTAAATGAAGTGGATTATTTGTTTAGGACTTCAATTGACCAAATGATTAAATTATGTTACAATCTACAATTTTTGAATATGTAAGTTGGGTACAAGTTTAAATTTGGGGTACACTTTGTTAACAATGAAAGTTAGCGGGTTTAGATTATATTAGTTGAAAAGATGAGATGTTTCCTTTGTAAATCTAGGTTTGAGGCCACTTATTACCTTATAATCAACCCACTTGGCATTTATCATCACCATACACTTAGACAATAGGCTAGACATGTGTAGAAATAAGAAAAAAAAATGGAAGGATAAAGTGGTGACTAGCACTTCCAATTTACATCTCAATCGAAGATCTTCAAGTTTTACAGTAAGATACTTTCCATGCTTAAGAGTTATGGTTTTCATGGTAATATTTATGCTTAAAATATGCATGAAAAACCATAATATGATTATGGTGGACAAGTCCACAAAGTTAGATATCTATTTATGCCTTAGAACAAGTCCGAAGGGCACCGGCAAGCCGGAATGTGCAAGTATGTGTTTGATTGCATTCTTTTGTGTAGTATTATCATGATAAAAATCCAAGCATGGTATCTTACTGAGTATTTCTTATACTCATAGTATGTTATGCTAAATTTTCAGATCCATGATCGTTTGAATTGATGGGAGTTAGTTGGCTTACGCGATGATGGATTAAGGACAGATGTTTTGTACCGAAAGTTTTCTTTTGTATGTTTTGTTCGATGACTGTTTTTCCATTTATTTTTCTTATGGTACTATGTAAAAATATGTACATGACATGATGTAATATGGTATTAATAGTAAATTTTGTAATTATATCTTTCATGTTATGTTAAGAGACGTTTTTATAGTTTATTTTCCTTGCAAGTGATAAAAGGCAGAAATGGGACAATTTTTGGAGTCATTTTCAAAACGATGTTTCTAACTCTATAAACGTCCATTTGAAACTCTAAAAATATTTCTGTTTTCCTCTTTGAGTTTTCTAAATATGGCCAAAGGAATCACTCAATTTGGATATCTATGGCCTGAGTTATCAAGGTTTTAACGTCAAGGGGTCAAACTGGATTTCCTGTGTAATACTTCACTGTTTTCAGTAAAACGTCCATATCCTATGATCTTGGAAAATTTTCATATTTTAACCTAAAAAACTATTTGAAATTATCTTTCTAATGCCACAAATTTCATAGAAAAAAGAGTTGGGATGAATTTTATAAAAATTGTCAAACTTGCTGCCTCAACTAATCTTGATAATGCCGAGGCCGTATATGTAAAGTATAATTTATTGTTGACATGCACTTTTGTCGACTATCAAATTGTATAAGAATTATTTTACCGAGTTGAAAATAAGTTCCTAACATGAAATACTTCTATTTAAGAGTATTTACATGTACCAAGGACAGAAGTTATTATGTTTAGTACGTGACACTCGAAGCTTGAGTTCGGGGCGTCACAAGTTTTGGTTACATTGAATGAGAACGTTCTAGCTTTTACGTTTTCATCTTTCATAGGCTCATTCTTGCCCGATGGTCTAGATTTAGCCATTATAGGACAAATATACGTGTCTCCTTTGACTAATTCGGTCAAACACATTTCGGTCTGATCGTATGACTCATTATTAATGGTATGAACATCAAAATTTGGGTCTCTATAATAAGTCCCCTTGCTAGAATTTTTTATCTGCTCTTCTTTTCTTATCAATCGTTCATACTTAATTACGTTCGCGCTCAATTAGAAAAGGTCAGGAAACTCCTTGTCTTGGAATTTCTTTTTTAAATCAAAGCTCAAACAACCTTGAGCGATTTTGACAAACTCTTTTTCGGGTAGAGGTACAAAACATTTACTTCTTGCTGTCTCGAACCTTTGGAGGAAACCTTCTGCCCATTCATTTGGCATTTGACGTAGGTTCGCCAAATCGGCCAAAGTAACTTCAGACTCAATCTTATAAAACTGAGTGTGGAATAATTGTTCCAATTGTTGCCATGTTTGAACAGAATTCGCTGGCAAATTGATGAACCAGGAGAAAGCTACTCCTATTAATGAACTAGGGAAAAGCCTCATTTTATGATAATCAGTTACGTCACCACTTTGCAGTATGAATCGTCATATGTGTTCTAGAGTAGACACCTCCTTACTTTATACCCTCTAGGTCATGGATATGCTTGGTCTATCCAATCAGGATATGGCTTTATGTAGGTCGGCCTAATGACAGGATGTACCCCAAAACCCATCTGGTCCTGTACAATTTCCATAATCTGATTTCTCAACATGACGTTGGGGTCATATGGAGTCCCTACAGGTTGGTTGACTGGTTGATTTGCTTGAGGCCTGATATTTGGTCCTTGATTAGGAATAAAATTACCATGATTTGGGTCATTGTTACCATTAGCCTGAACATTTATTCCCTCATTAACACGTGGGGTATTCTGCCCGTTATTTAGGACATTATCTCTTACATTTGGATTACCCCCCAAGTTAGACGTACCACTACCATTATTCTGATTTGGCATTACACCATCCCCTTAGTTTGAAGTAGAGGGACCAAAATGTGGTTCTACCCCTTGACTTGGATTTAGGACTGGGGGATTATGTCTCCACAATTGTCCTAATTTGAAAATGGTTTGCAAGAAGCACAACTGGTTGACAAATTTGGCTTACTAACTTATTCATTATTTCATTCGAAGTATTCAGTTGTTTGACCATGTTGTCATAGTGTGCATTCCCATTCTAGGTAAATCTTTCCATATTATGAATATTTCGAAGATTTACCTGTTCAACGACATCTTGTGTGAGTTCTCCAAGTAGTGCACGCATAGTTCGAGGACTCAACTCTGACATTGATTCGTAACGACTGTTACTGCTCTGATTCTGTCTATCTGTTCGTGGAAAGCTATGCTGCTCCTCATATCGCTTGATCACAGACTGGACTCCTCCCTGACTTGCTGCTTCCTTATCGGATCTCTGAGGCATATTGTTTCACCTTTTGTATTTTCAACACCAAACACCACTGTCCCACCAGGCGTGCCAAATTATTTCGTGCGGGTTAGTCGCTGACAATTAAAAATGAATCAGACGATTGTGTAAGGGACAACCCTCTTGAGACAAAATCCCAAAAAGAGGCGTTTTTATTGGCGATGACTTTACAATTGGAAAATAAAAACAGAATACCTCCAAGGGGCGCAAGCACACGAGTTACTGAAAAAGAAGTGTTTAAATCTAAACTAAGAAATTTAAAATTACATATTCTCTGTTCGAGAGTGTTTGATTCAGGGGGTCCTTTGCTCTATGTCTTTTCTTCCTTTTATACTCCCTGGATGATCTTTTCGTGATCAACCGCTTAAAAACTGCTTGATCACTCTATAACTGCCCACTTTCGTTGTAGTGGCCAACCTGTCATAAAACTGCCTTCTCTAACTGCTGCCATTACTTTTGTCGTTCAACCGTCTTCAATTGAATTCCTTGAATCGTGGGACGTGACAGGACTACCCAATAACTGCTTTATTAACTGCACGTTTGAGTAACCATAACATCTTATGTTTGCTAAGATGTTGGGCGACTCGAATGTTTGGACGAGAGTAGGGTTACAGCTCTGGGCGACTGCATGGCAATTCATTCGCTCAAATCTTGGGCGACTTGCAACCTTGGGCGATGGTATTACCGCGTTCATGTGCTTCCCTATTTGGGCCTTTATCCTGCATTGCCTGATTGGTTCGTTCTTTGGGCTATTTGATTTTTGGGGATCTTCCAGTTGGGCTTCATTCTTTGAGCTATTCGACTTGGACTGAACTTTTTGTGTGTCAACACATTGTTTATTATTTAAGGACAAGAGAGTAATTGTAATTATTTGCGGTTTTATTTTTATTATTCGTTTGATGATTATATTATGGGAGATTTTGGCATTTCAGTCCCAATCTTTACGAAATGTAATGAAATTATCATTAACGTTTTTTTGGCGTAATTCGTTTGAACATTTCAATTATGTAACAAAATTCGTTCCATCCATTTTGATAATTAAATGATTGATTTGTCCTTCTCTTTAAATAAATAAACATAGAAAAGTAATTAAAAAAAAGGAAATATTATAAATGGAGTCCCGTAACTTTTCAAAAATACAAATAAATCACATTTAAAACTATTAAATACATATTAAACATATAAAATAAAAATTTTAAAATAAGCATTTTATCTTTTGCAACCAAGTTCACCCACCTACTCCGTTAACACCTCCCCCACACATCCTAATTCACCCCACCCGTAAATAAACAACATCTTCACAAATGTAATCACATCCTCGCGACATCATGATAATCACCATCTTAAAAATATTAGCTCAAAAGATCAATGGATAAAAATAGCAGCCTAGATCATAGAACTATCACCATAGTGGGCACCTCACCATCCCTACATTATCGATTGCAAGAACCAAATCGGTAGCCTAGATTGCAGAACCACAACAGGATTTCTGTACCTTACCGTCTTTCCTCTATCTGTTGCAATAATCAAATCTCAACCTAGTTGTAGAATTCACATTACGACCTTCGATTTTTTAGGTAGGCTAATTTTTTATCCAGTCGTCTTTATTTTATTTTTTTTGAATTAACTTTTATAAGGTGGAGGTAATAGTTGGTCGTTAGCGTAATTATATTTGTGGAGGTGATATTTGGTTGACCGTGGGGGTGAATTAGCATGGTGGGATGGATGGGGTGGAGTGGGTAGAGAAGCTTTAGGGAAGATGAAATATTTATTTTTTAAATTATCTTTTATGTGTTAATATGTATTTAATTATTTTAAGTGTGATTTACACGCTTTTGAAATGTTTTGGAATTCCATTAACAACTTTTCCTTATTTTTTATACTTTTACTGCTTTCTTTTATTTATTTAAAGAAAATGTCAAATTTGTTATTTTATGGTCAAAATGGAGGGAATCTTTTGTTTTATAATTGAAAGATTGAAGATAAGTTAAAAAAAAAAAAGTTGAACCCCAATCTTGAGGCTCCCATCGTCCCGCCCCTAAAATTTTGTGAGGGAGGTAAATCGCGGGATGTGCCCCATCAGGTCGGGAATAAAAACTGTCTATACACTGCTCCTATAAAAAGTTCAATTTCATGTCTTAGGAATCGAATCCCTACATTGCTGCTGTCAATAATGCATGAAATAACCCCACTTCTATCCTTTGCACCACTGGACAATGTCGGGGGGCTAAAGATTGAAGATAAGTTATACTTAAAACTGGTTGAGAATTTGTTACATTTTTGCAAAAGTTGGAGTAAAAACTGCAAATTTCCGTCAAGCAAACTAATTTGTTTTCCAATCCAATGATCCCTTCGCTTGAAAGAAACAATGTCTTTTTTCCACTAAAATGACAAATTGGTCCAACGACGGGCCATCTATGCAAATCACCCGGCCGATCTTTAACGACCACTGGCAGTCTGGCGCCATAGGACAGGAAGGAGTAACAAAATGTTAAATCCAACCCGGTCCCGCCTATTCTCCCGCTGTTGTCTCCACCACCGCGTCTCCCTTCACTCCACCACTGACTCCAACCACAAACTTCCTGCCCAAATCAGCCGCCTATTAATCCTCGGCCAATTCGAAGCCCTCTCCAACCTTTCCATCACTTTCTCTGACCTTCTAGTGGACTCCGTCCTCAAAGAACTCAAATTCCACCCTACCGCCGCCCTGAACTTCTTCAATCTAGCTTGCAAACCGAACAACTTCAGACCCCACTTCAAATCATACATCAAACTCGTCCACATTTTATCCAAAGCCCGCATGTTCCCCGAAGCGCGGTCGTATTTACATGACCTCGTCGAACTGTCTGAAAGGAAACGTTATTCAAATTTTCTGGTATATGAAGAATTGGTAAGAATTTATAGAGAATTCAAGTTCTCCGGGACGGTTTTTGATATGTTATTGAAAATTTATGCTGAAAAAGGGATGGTGAAGAATGCTTTATACGTGTTTGATAATATGACCAAGAGTGGTCAGGTGCCAAGTACGCGATCGTGTAATAGTTTGCTGAGTAGTTTGGCGAGACTTAAGGAGTTTGACACTGTCATTTGTATTTATGATCAATTGGTAAGAGTTGGAGTTGTACCTGATGTATACACTTGTACAATATTGGTTGATGCTTATTGTAAGCATGATAGGGTTGATAAAGCAGTGGATTTTGTAGAAGGGATGGAAAGAATGGGGTTGGAGTTGAATGTTGTGGGTTATAATAGTTTGATGAATGGGTATGTGGAGAAAGGGAATTTGGAGGGAGTGGAGAGGGTGTTGCAATTGATGAGTAAACGAGCTGTTCCGAAGAATTTGATCACGTGTACCTTGTTGATTAAGGTTTATTGTAAGCGTGGGGAAATGGAAGAAGCGGAGAGAATGTTCAGAGGGATGAAGGAAGAAAAGGCAGACCTGTTGATTTTGGATCACAAGGTGTATGGTGTGTTAATTGATGGGTTTTGTCGGGTTGGAAAAATGGAAGATGCGGTTAGATTTAGGGATGAGATGTTGGGGTTGGGGTTGGGGATGAATCTATTTATTTGTAATTCTTTGATAAATGGGTATTGTAAACTTGGTAAATTATGGGAAGCAGAACGAGTTATAACGAGTATGGTTGAATGGAACTTGAAGCCGGATGGTTATAGCTTCAATACATTGTTGAATGGGTATTGTAGAGAAGGTTTAATGAAGGATGCTTTTAAGCTTTGTGATCAGATGGCTCGTGATGGTGTATTTCCAACAAATGTAACTTATAACACTCTCTTGAAAGGTTTACGTGACAAAAGTGATCTGGGTGACTGTTTGCACCTTTGGCGTCTAATGCTTAAGAGAGGTTTTGTTCCTGATGCAATAGGATTTAGTACTCTCCTCGATTGTCTTTTCAAGAAAGGTAGTTCTGATAAGGCTTTGATGTTGTGGAAAGATATTTTAGCAAAAGGGCATGCAACGGACGTGGTTATATTCAACACGCTGCTCAATGGATTGTGTAAGTTGGGGAAGATGATTGAATCAGAGCAGGTTCTTGACAAGATGAAGGAGCTCGGTTGTTCACCTGACGAAGTAACCTATAGAACCTTGAGTGATGGCTACTGTAAAGCTGGAGACATTGAAAGGCCTCTTCAAATAAAGCATATCATGGAAAAGGAAGGAATTCCTGCTTCCATTGAAATGTATAACTCCCTTATTAGTGGACTGTTTAGGGCAAGAAAATCAAGCGAAATTGCAAATGTTCTTTGTGAGATTCATGTTAAGGGACTAAGTCCTAATGTTGTTACATATGGAGCCCTTATTACCGGTTGGATCAAAGAAGGAAAACTGAAGAAAGCTTTTGATGCTTACTTTGAGATGACTGGGAAAGGAATTGCTCCCAATGTAATAATATGTAGCACAATTATTAGTGGATTAAACAAGCTCGGTATGACAGATTGTGCAAATATGCTGTTGCAGAAAATGGTGGATTTAGATGTTTTCCCAAGGCTTGAACAATTTTATAAATTCTTTGACTTCAAGAGAGTGCAGCTAGATATTCAGAAAATTGCAAGTTCCCTTGATGAAAGTGCCAAAAATTTTATTATCGCCAATAATGTTATGTATAATGTAATTATAGCTGGGTTATGCAAATTTGGGAAAACTGATGATGCAAGAAAATTTATCAGTGAGTTGTCACAGAGAGGCTTCATTCCAGACGAGTTCACATATTCTGCCTTGATCCACAGTGCTTGTATTTCTGGTAATGTCAATGAAGCTTTTGTCTTACGGGATGAGATGCTGAACAAGGGTCTTTCTCCAAATATTGTTACATATAATACTCTTATAAATGGCCTGTGTAAATCAGGAAAACTTGATCGTGCAGTGAGGCTTTTTCATAAACTTCACAGCAAAGGTTTAGTTCCCACCACCATCACCTATAATTCTTTGATTGATGGCTATTGTAAGGTTGGTAATACCAATGAAGCTCTTAAACTCATAGAGAGAATGACAAAGGAAGGTGTTGCTCCTTCTGACTTAACCTACTCCACATTGATCAGCAGCCTTTCAAAGCAGGGTGATGTGGTGGAATCCATAAAGCTTTTAGATCAAAAGACTAACACACATCTTGGGCCTATAAGATACAACAAACAAATCCAAGGTAATATAAATTTTCAAGAAGATCCAGTCACTTAAAGGATAAGAGGATAGAAATCCTTACTGTATTTCTATTAATCTTTTTCACCAACAAACTTTATGAGATCATTTTTCTTTTTTAACTTGTTAAATTTGCTGTACACATATTTTACACAATGTGTTATATTTCCAGCCGAAATTGTGGAAGCATGCTAGAAGCAAACAATGCAGCTGTTTCTTTGTTATGCTCTCTGTGGAAAAAAGTAAGTTAGACAAGATGCTATGTTCTTGAGCTAAAGTAGGCAGACAGTTATTCCATAACATTTAACCCCATTTATTTTCCTCCCCAACTCACTGTCTCCTCTGGGCAGTAAGTTAAAAACGTGATATCTTTCTCCCCAAATTGGAATGTTTATGGTAGCCATATTTAATAAATAAAACATATTTCTGAAGTCTTATCAGGCATACTTAATATGAGAGCTTATAATCTGTTGGAATGCTGTTGCAAAAAAATAGATCCAATGACATGAAGCCTTATAACCTGTTGAAGTATTTCTCAATGCAAAATGTTTTAACACCTTCAAAAAGACGAGCGTGTCTCATTTTAATATTTGGCTATATTTTAGGAAGTTGAAGCAGAACATTGCCATGAAAGAAGAAAAAGGAAAGGAAAAAGTGAACCAGGTCCAGACGTGTGCTTTGTAGACCTGTCATGTTGGACTCTATGATGAAAATCTCTAGTTTCACTTAGAAGGGGAAAACTAGAACTTCAGTTTTTTTCTAATTTTACAAAATGAACTCTCTTCTTCTGAATACACAGCATCAGCCAAGATATCCACAGATGTATCCAATAAAAAATGGGTTGGTAACTTCTAGGAGAACAAAGTAAGTTTCTCTGTCTAAATCTCTGCTTTTATTTCCTTAATACATTTCTATTAACTTACTGTGTATGCCACATGAATCATAGTTACTAAACCGAGACAAGAGAACTGTAAACTGGCTCCAATTCAAGTTCAGTTTTGCAATTGGACCTCGCAAGAGACCAATCTGGTAAAATTAAATGAATGGTCAGTTTTCTTTAACTTGCTACCTGCTGAACCCAGTGGCTTAAATTTCAAGCATTGAAAGTGCAAGCAGAAACTGGTATTGATGGAGATCCTTAGTGTCATTCTTGGAAGACTTACCATAATATAGATATTTACTTTAGTGAGAAAAATAAGAAACATTTTGAAGTTATTTTGATTTAGGGATTTTCCCCCATAGTTACTCGGTTATAATTAGGTAATTTTTTTATGTTTATTTTTGTCTTTTCGTCTCATAGCTTTCCTTGGTTACAAGAAATTTCAAGTATATGCGATGGAGATAGAGATAGAATAAAAATAGAATTTAGATAGGATTTTGAAAATGAGATTTGTTTGGCCAACGTAAAAGAACTTGCTTTGATACCAAATTGACAATGAAACGTAACAATTTGACAACAAACAAGAAAAAGAACAAGAAAAGAAAGAGATCAAAGAAGGGAAGAAATTAGGACAAAGAGGAAATCAATATTGAATACAAATATTATTAAAACTTCTCCCCAAATTATTTGTTTCTTCTCCCTTGTCTCCTTTTCTTCCTGTCTCCTTCTCCTCTTTGTTCCCTACATTCTTGTTTCATGCATAGTGTGCTGGATCAGCTCCTATTTCTTTGAATTCTAGCTTTCATTATGAGTTTGCAGAGCCTACCTACCGGTGGGTTACTCTAGCGATAAAGAATATGTTAGTGTATATATAAATTAGTTATTTATACATTCTTTGCTGTAATGTAGCTTGTCATCTTTAAGTGGTGGTGAGTCAAAATACTAGAGAATAGAATTGTCCCACAAATTGTTTCTACTTCAAATGGTCTCTATACTAGTAGAATTTTTTGAATTGAATTCAAGTAAGAATTTTATAGACGCCCACTAAAGACAATTATGCTCAAATATGAGCACAGCTCATGTACAGCACACTATAAAGTTTCACATTGTACCATAATCTGTTAACACCTTAAGCACAACACAAACTTATTTTAGCTACTCTATCCATAGAACATGTTGGTGGAAATAATGAAGGCTAATACATCCAACCAAGCTGGCCAGATGTAGTTTTCGAGTGACAAAATATGTGCGATAACTTTTAATAGACAAATATTGTCTGGATGAAATGTTTTGAGTATTTACAGTGTAATTATGGCTCCAAGGATGCTAGCAACAGCAATGAAATGAGAAATCTTCTTTTAGGAAGAGGCTGTAGTGAATCTCAGCAGCTGTAATCGATCCAGCTTCTAATTGACCAGAGACTTGAGGTCTGATTTTGCCACCTCTTACCTCTGCAAAAACAATGCAACCTGGGGAATCAGTTTGTGTGACCGGTGAAAGATGTCTGGTGTAAGATTAGAGTGTCAACTCAGGGGTGTGCAAATTTCATGTGGGATCTGGCACCATAAAAGGGATTGTGCTGGACAAATATTCACTACTTTTGAGCTATAAGTTAGTGAAACTGGAATTTCATGCAGGGGATAGATTTATGGGATAATGTTCCCAGTGCCATCAATTTACCACGAATTGAAGATGGTGCTTTAGGCAAGGAGAATAGAGGTCAGAAAAGCCATGCAAATTTTTGCAGTTTCTTAAGAGTATGAACTAGAAAAGCACATTAAGGATGTGATGATGCCAAAGATAGGCAGTTGGCATGCTTGCTACTGCTAATTTGAAGCTTCAACCACTAGAAAATGAGCTTATATCAATTTCAGAGCAGAGTTTGACTGGTATGCCATACAGAATGTTGTCTCCGAGATGAGAATACAAAGGATTGTTATTTCTAATATAAAAAGAGTGCAATGGATGGGCAAATGACCCAATTTTACCATAGAAGGAACGTTTGTTAGCTAACCA